CGTTAACTTTTTCTACCTCACGACGTCGATTTAAACATAAACAATTCTCTCAAACAAACTGCAACGCGCTATTGTTGACGTGCAGAATAAGAATGAACAAAGTACGGTGCCGCAACGGTTAATCGACTCTAGATCGTATTGCTTACGTCAATTAATATTAATTGGACTGAATTTCGCTTACATCCAGTTTTTGTTTACAACAATGTTGTTTACGCCTACTTAATGCCATGCCATGCAAGCGAAATTCACTTCAATTAACATTCTTTAACGTAAGCGATACGAGCTAGAATCGCTTAACCGTTGCGGTAAGTTACTTTGTTCATTCTTATTCTGCACGTCAACAATAACGCGTTGCAGTTTCTTGGAGAGAATTATTTATATTAAATCGACGACGTAAAGTAAAAAAAAAGTTAACGCTGCATTTAGTGGGGTTAATTACATATCGGGAATAGTAATAACGGATGGACTATAGGTCGTCTTCTGGTTTTAAAATTTGGATACTAAAAATATCTTTAAAACGGCCGGCGATAATAACGAATAACAGGGCAAGAATACTCCACAGCTCCCATGAAACTGGGAGTATTCAAGGAAAGCGTTGCAATAGTTGCAATTTCTCTCAACAAAATAATCCAATGATTTTTAAAATTAATGAAATACTCATAACCATCTTAACTTTAATGAAGAAATCGAGAGCATAGGAAGAGACCTCTGTTCCGACGCTTCCAGAAATTCACAAACAAAGAAAAGAAATAAAGGAACCCGAGTTAATCCACTCGGTAATTGAAATGACGATTGCTTAAGGAGCCAAAATACTTGTATTCAGATCCACGACTGCGTTAATTAACGTGTTGCAATCCCGCTCACATTTATAACACCATAAAAATCAAATCGATCATGGTTTGTATTATGTACTTTTGTGTCTATTATTGTTTTTATGCATGGACAATTACTACCTACTATTGTTTACATCTTGTGCCGCAACGTTGGTGCAGTACAATAAACATTATTATGGTCGGTGTTTCTTGTGAGAACTCAGGTCTAGCCTGGTTAACTAATCGCACGGATTAAAATCAAGTAACGATTAGTGTCTGTGTCTGTGTCTGGTGAAGTTATGTAGGGTCCTAAAAAAAAAAAAAAAATAATAAATAAATAAATAAATAAATAAAGAAAAAAAAAAAAAATATTCACACACTCACATTGGAAATCTACGGATAGTATGTAATTCATACTTACCAACATAGCTATTAATGGCCACAATAGTCAACGCTATCAGGAAAGAAGAAAACAAAACAAAAATATCATTATAATAATTCCTGTAGTTTTATTAAATAGAGTTTATTGTGTAAGTGTTTCTTTGGCTTTGCGTTTGGGTTGAATACGAGTGTGGGTTGTGATAACGTGGTGTGTTTCTGTGAAGAAGGAGTTTTGTGTTTTTTAACTGTGCTAGGACGTGTAACTTTATTGGGTGGACCTGTCTTTGTAGTGCAAGTTGCGTTTCTTGTATTTATGGTGTTTCTTTGTTCTAGAGGTTGTATTTGTGTTGTTGCTTGGATTATTATTATTATTATTATTATTATTTGATGGAACCCAAACTGGATTAAGCGGGTTTTACATGCTGAAAGTTTTTGGCGAAAGTTGTCTTAACCGAACACATGCAGAGTAGGTGCTCTTCTTGAAATTAAAATCATTTATTGTGTTGACAGGCCTAAAGGCAGATTCGAGGGCAGATTATTGAGCGAAAATTACAATTGCATAGAAATAAAAGAGAAACAGTTATGAAATGTGTCGATCTAACCTATACTTTTTAGGTTGGTATTAGCAAAATTTCACGTGAATGTGAAGTGTCATTGCAGCACGTAAAGCACCTATGTCACTTTAAAAATGTTCGGAAAGTTATTTCACTTTCGACTTTAATGACATAACTTTCAGCATGTAAAGCGGGCTTTAGAGATATCAGAATTAACTCGCCAATGTCCTATCTTTTCGATTGCGCTAATCTAACACATCAGGTCATTCAGGTCTTATAAGTTATAACACTTATATTATACAGGATGTTACATATGTACAGTGTGTAAAGCGATGGGGTATACAAGAGTAAATTTTTTTTTAATATTGATTTATAAAAAAAATTTATTCTTCATGATATTTTTTGCTTGCTTTTCAAGTACCAATAACGTTTCGATTGTTTGTGGTTTGATCTGCAATACGCTATCTTGATTATAATTTAGAATGATAACAATCAATAAAAAAAATTAATTTTATTATTTTTCCAGATTTCTATAAATAAATTTTAGATTATCGAAACGTTATTGGTACTTTCAAAGCAAGCAAAAAATATCATGAAGAATAAATTTTTTTCATAAATCAATATTTAAAAAAAATTCCCTCTTGTATACCCCATCGCTTCACACACTGTACATATAAGTATGTAAAAAATTGGGCGGTACAGGGGATCAGAACAAGCCCTTTTCCCAAATAAACTGTGCGTCCAACGTGTTTCGTTGGGAACCCACCCTCAAAAAAGTGGTGAAATTTGCTTTTATCTTTTAATTTTTTTCTCAGCAACCATAAGAGTTAGAGAGACTGGTGGCACGCCTTTGAATAGGTTTTGGGGTGTGCTCTTTCCGATTTTGCAAACATTTTTTCAAAATTCCTACCACGAAAGAGGCGAAAAAAATTCTGATTTCGACGAAATTTTGTATCTGTGGGGTTTTGAACATGAAAATCAGTAATCTGAAATTAGTTTTTGAAAAGTCGAAAAAAAAATTCCACTGTAATTCTTGACCGGATTGTGGATTTTTTTTAGAACTTTCAAAACCTAATTTCAGATTCTTGACTTTCATGTTCAAAAACCGTCAGATGCCAAATTTTGTTAAAATCAGAATTGTTTCTTAGGAGTGCGCCCCTCGGTGCGCCCTTCCATGGTAGGAATTTTGAAAAAAGTAAAAGTTAGAAATGATTTGTTTCAACAGGATGGTGCACTCGCGCACAACACCCTAATCCTATCGGTATTCTCGTTGTCTTGTAGAGTTCAAATAGTGGCAAAAAAAAGTTTTTTTTTTATTTTTTAGCGCCGAGGTGTTAAGAGAGGCGCTTATGTTTTCTCCCAATCGGGCGACCGTCACTCGCTGGCTTCATGTCCCTCGATTTAAAAAAGATTAGAAAACAACTGGAGCGGTTGCGATGAAATTTTGCAGGTAGATTCTTTATCAAATTTGTAGATCGGAATTCTTGAATTGGCAATGTAGGCCACAAAATAAGGATGGCCCTTTTGGCATCTCCGTAAGTTATGAACCAAATTTCATGAAATTTAAACGGGGCATAGCTTTAGCGATAAAAACTTCAAACGCGAATTGCGGGTGGACATCCGAAGTGCTGGTACTGCTGGAAGGTACTGCGCAGGGAATATGGGAGCCTCGGCAAGATGGCTAATAGAATAGTGATCTGCCACACAAAAATGCGCGAAAGTCCCTTCGATATCATAATTTTTGTCATCTCGGCCATTTATGAACCGAATTGCATGAAATTCAAACTGGCCCATAAACAGTAACACCACATCAAATGTAATGTCATCGCTTGGGCACTTTTAGATGTCTACAATGAAAGAGGAGAAACAAATAGAACAAAATCGGCAAATGTCGGTTTTTCTGGTACCTATACCTTCGGAAGTAATCGGAATTTTCTACTTTTTTTTACAGCATGATAATAACTCTTTAATTGTGCAACTTTTCCCTAACTTGACCATCTTCGTATGGTTTCCGAGATCCCCATGATAGGAACTTCTAGGGCTACTCTGCTACAAATTCTGTATATAGGTAATTACAACGTTAGTTTCGTTAACATATTAAGAAGGAAAGCTCGTCTTTGGATAAAGTCTTGGGTATGCCCTTTCCAATTTCAATTTATTTTTGAAATATTTCTACTCCAAGATAGCGCTGCCCTAAATGTGGGCGAGAAAAAATCCTATTTCACTGAAGTTTGAAAGCACAAAAATTCCGAATCTGCAATTGGTTTTTAAAAATTCAAAAAAAAATCCGACTGCAAGTCTTCACCGGACAGTTTAGCGATACGATCTTTGAAGCGAAATTTAGGCACATCAAAACAAGAACATTGCTACGTAAGTTACACACCTACGTGTTTTGAAAAATCGTATCAAGAGTGCAACCTAGATTCGAACGTGGTCTACCGCAATTTAATAGTTCTGTTATATATGACATAAGACGATAAAGGGATATTTTAACCATTGAGTGAATTAATTTTACGAGAAGCCATATAAATCATTGCACAGCTATTGACAATTCTGAATTTAATCAAAAAGAGCAAGTTTAGCCTCTGTCGTCGCGGTCGTTTCCATAGAAACAGCATTGTCATATGTTCAGAACGTCATTTTATATCGTGCTCAGAGTGCCATTTGAAATAAGAATGACAGATGCCATTAGAACGCGGATAATACATAATACTTAAAAATTTGGTTTCTCGGGAGTTACAAACTTGAGAAGGGTGTTTTTCATGGAACATAGCCAATCACGTACAATATCACAATGTTAACCTAGCGCACATCAGACCTCTCTCTGCACAGAATGAACTAATTAATGTCAATTAGTCGCTGTTAGTTACTATGTCATTAACTTCTTATTTACATACGCCAACTTCATTGCAAATTTGAGAGATGTTACTGTCGAGGTACAGAAAGAACTCGATTTCTAATTATACAACTTAGTCCAGAAATAGTTCCCAAATTCTTGCGGGAACAAAGAAATTGCTCTCTTCTCAATTTAGAAACGCAAACACTGCAGTTGTTCGACAGATTGTGCTTGTCCATAATCAAAAATGAACGAGTGCAGTTATTCAAAATCGACAACTGTTTTTGATATGATAGTTACCTACGTACATTAATAAACGATGATGCCATCAATAACATAATCATCATACATGATACACTCAAGGTTATTTTTAAAAATATCTTTTATTGCAAAACATAGATATTGCACTTCTGTAATCTACTTACATGTTCGACATGGCGAATATTCGGAAGAATCCCTAAAGTTGTTTTTGGTAATATAGCACGTTCCCACAGGATCTCGCCTTTCCTCTCTACTTTTGGTAAACCACACGTATCGAGGTGCACACGCCTAGAAAGAAAAGAAACCAACTTATAATCGTTATGCAATTTCGAATGTAGGTTAATATCACTTTTAAATTAGCACTTCCGTATTATGGATATATGTATTTATACGTGCATTAGTAGTAATAGTACCGGGCATCTGGATGAATTTTTTTACGAATCCATTAACTGACATTCGAGTGAACGATCTAAGCTCGGGCATGGTCCCCTTGGATGTAAAATTCAAAACGGTTCCAGAAGATTGCGAACCAAAAATATACAGGGTGTTCCGTCTAAATATCGTCATTAAGAACGCGTCGAACTGCGGACTAGTCACAGTACTCAAAATTGTGCACCTGCACACATTTCACGCCTCGACAACGCTTAACTAATTACGCTAGACGTGACGAAGGACAGGTTTCGTGGCACGACCTATACGATCGTAAAGGAAGTTTTTCATAATCTCTCATTTGCAATGAAACAATTCGTCTTTAACGATTTAATTAAAAAACGACTTCCTCGCCGGCATTTTAGTTGTACGTACTTCTCAGATAAAAGTAATGACCTTTCCACAAACGGAGGCCATCTGATTTAACCATTTTACTTGCATTATAAAAGTGTGTAACCCAATTTTAAACAAACCACACATAATTGATGCCATTTTCCCTTAAAATTAGAATCAGGTTCATCGACTTAACTTAATTACAATCGTTAAATGTAACGATTTACCTTACACGTCAAATTACTGCGTTTATTACCCTTATTCTGATGATGACATCGTCTCCAACTCCAACGCTTCATTTCAATCTTCCAAATTAATTTAGACAACCCTGACATCATCATTTGATTAGCAACGGACGGGTGCTATTGTATATATTTCGATTAGTCTAGTATTCCAAGGTGTACCAACTTGTAGATGAGTAGTTTATACACGCCTTGATTAAATTTGTCACACTGTCCCAGTTTTCGTGTAATCAATATAAATGTAAAATGACACAGAATGTACATACGCCAATATTTCAGCCGAAAGGTTAACGATGTTGCACCAGGTCAAAAATGGGTAGCGTTTCATGATAATATGTTTAGATAACACAATATGAAATAGGTTGGGTAATGGCTTAGTGAAATTAAAACACCTACTTGTACATCATCAGTTTTATTCCTAAATTAAAACTCATCTAATTAGCACGGAAAAGTGTAGTTCTGTACTCTTTAGTAAGGTTTTCTTAGCAGCTATCGACTATGTCTTTTTGGATTAAAGATGCGGCAAACGAAGAAGTTTTTAAGATAATATTGACAGGAATATAAGTTTAGAGTGTCCCGAATATTTTACGTTAATTCTATAATAAAAATGATAATAATACGTAAGCCATTTATTGGACATACTTCCACCTCAGTAATATATAATAACAAAACAAGAAAACAATTAAAAAAAAAAGAATAAAAATATAATTGTATGCATTTGTATAGCTAAAAATTAAACTTTTCAAATCGATTTCTCTCCATGTATATTGGACAGAGTGGGGAACGCTGGGATAGCCGGCAGGAGACAAATAAAATACCTCCGACCGACGGTCGGAACAGGAGAGAAACCCCCGAATATAAAACAATTTACAGATTTTGCAATCCTTGCATCGGAGACATTGCAAATGACAAAGAACAACGCCATATGTAAAAGGTAAAACACGAACTCTTATTCACTTCCGTAATAATAAAAAAGCATCAATAAATGCGTCATGCTCGTAATACTACGAGGACTTTTTTTTTGTATACCCCCCTTGTGCCATGTTGCCGCCTGAGTAAGAGTTCTCAGCCGCTGCCTTCATCTTAGTGAATAAATGGAAATCGCTTGGACCTAAATCCAGTTTGTAGGGCGGGTGGTCGAACAACTCCCATCCGAACTTCTTGAACAGTTCCTTTGTTACTGTTGCCGTATAAGCAGAGCCGGCACTGGTTTTAGAGAAAAAATTCAAATACAGCCTAAGTTTTTTGCAACAATCACCTCGCTGTTCGTTTTGGTGCCCCGTCAAGTCAACAACAAGCTTTTCTCAGTCTACGGTGATACGTGTAAATTTTTTTTAAATTACAAGTAGAATACTGGCACTATCCCCCATCACTTTTTGTGACGTCACAGTGCGTAGCCCTGAGGAATGAGATTCCCGGGTTACGTAATTAATGAGTGACCTTGTTTTGTGGTGCAAGTTCGTAGTCTGCTATGGTTAAGATTAATGCAATGAGATTATTGATCTTCAGATATTTGATGCTGCATTATAAAAATTGTTGCCATTTGGGTCTTATTTATTCTATTTTTGAGTGGACGGGGTTTCAGCCAAGGCTGCTCTACCAACCCAACCCACTACACATTTACAAATATCCATACGCGATCGCGGATACGAACCAGCCGAATTTCAACTGCACCACACCAGCGGGCTTAATCGGAAGATTATTTTGATTTTTGAGGTTATTTCATTGAGATTTTAATAATTTTACCCGTAAAATGCTTGATAGACAGAAAGATTTTTTTAATTAATTAGAAACGAGACTATGGTATTTTTTGTTTTTTCAGAACTTACGCCCACAAGATTGCAAATTCTTACAGCTCCAACTCACGAGTGTGCATAAATCTAGGCATAAATGATGTGAACTAAACTTTGCAGAATAAGGACACATGAATACAAACTAAATGATGAAGCAACAGTTCGCCCATCCGTTTCTTAGGGATTTAGGATTATCGTTTAAGCATCATCTACTAAGAACTAAAATTGAACTTGCCTTTCTAACAATTTGTTGCTAAACAAAATTGATGCTCCGGAACTAATGAATTACATACATTCACTTTTACATTGCGCGCCAATGTTATCGTGGTACATTTTAACTTCCACTAGAGGTTTTAAGTCTCGGAAGAAATAATTTTCAGAACTTGTAAAAATTTTCGAGTTTAATTTGTAGATTAACCAATAATTAAGGGTCACTAGAAACTGAATATTTGTCCACCCCTACTAAAATCCATCGCCAGTTGCCCTATGTGCACGAAGAAAAGAGTATGCTCATAAAGAAGTGCGTAGCTGGTACAGGGAGTTCGCAGAAGATCGTATAAACATGCACCCCGGCAGAGCAAGATTTTGACGAATATTTTCAAGTTCACAGGGTGTGTGCTAGGTGAGTGACGCGGATGCTCCCTGATGAACACAAAAAGAATCGCATCGATTCTGCGTCGGAGTGGGTGAAGAATGTTTAGATTCATTTGTAACGGGAGACGAGACTTGGGTCCAATATTTCACGCCAGAGACTAGGGAACAATAAAAAAAACATGGCGGCATTACAGTTTTTCAAGTGTCAAAAAGTTCAAGCAAACGCCGTCAGCAGGGAAGGTGATGGCTTTGGCATTCTGGGACAAGAAACGCGTTCTGCTGATCGACTATCTGACATTCTGAAAAGACGTACAACCCCCATACAGCCCATACCACGACTGATCTCTGCTCCAGTGGGAAATCATTGACCATCCTCCGTACAGCATTGATTTGATCAGTGACTACGATTTGTTCCCCAACTTGAAGCACCACTTGGGGGAATTAAATTCTCAAACGACGAAGAGGTACAGACAGCTGTCGGTCTTCCTGTGCAGGTCGGTGGGAGAGTGGTACGAGTACGACGCGGATACAAAAGAGCTTTCGGAGCCTAAAAGTGAAGTGTGACGGGGACTACGTCACAGATACCACTCGTACACCTTCGTATGCTCGATTGTGCTCAAAAGCTTTTCAGTTCTTCTTTTTATGTCTAGGAATATGTGTACCAAATTTGGGTCCAATCGTTTCAACCGTTTAACCGGAAATGAGAATACAGACCGACAGACCGATCGACATCATCGAAATTTTATTTGACTCGGATTCCTGGTGCTTCAAAACGTGTACTTCCGTAAAAAAGTGGGAGAGGGGGCGCATTTTTTACCCCAATTAACTCAATACCTCCCTTACTAACGTGCGGGTGGTAAAAATAGCTAAGAGTCATTGATTTCAGAATCTGTAATTGGTTGCAATAAAATGATGTTTTTACTATGTGAATAACCATTGGAGACCTCAATTTACGGACAACCCTTGTATATAGGTATTCTTGGAGAAAGCAGTGTGGGAACGCCCCCCCCCCTCTCCTCCCCACTACACCACTGGTTTAAACCAACAGTTTCTTACAAACACTTTTATGAAATATAACAGTAAACAAACGCATTAGGTAAACTAAAAAGCAATACGTGAAAGAGCAAATGGAGTTTATTGAAGCACACTTTCGTCATTACAACATATGAGATTTCTATAGCACACTTTGTAACGGATCGAGTTGGTTTATTTTGCTTGAATTTGTGTCTCATGTCTATTTTTCCTTTTAGAATTGTTTGTAATTGCGTTATTATTTGTTTTTCGCTTTTTAAATTTTTTTATTTAGATTCTTGTGTCTGTTGGGCAGTCAAATTGTCGGGGACGTCCTTCGCTCCTATGGCGCAATGGTGATTTTTCACGAGTACATTATCGTAGTATGAGATTGATATGCCGATATATTACAATTTAATTTCTTACTGTATAATCTCATCAATCTCCAGTTTACATCTTCTTCATATCATGCATTTTGATTTTGAGGGTGATATTGTCATATCCGCTGCAAATCGTCTTCGCTCCCTGCTAACAGAACTGCATTAGTATAGAATATTAACATCCCGATCTCCCATCTCTCAACATACGTACAAGTTTTATTATCTCGCCCATTATGATGTTAAATAGGAGTGGGCGTAGGGAGTCCCCTTGTCGGATACCACAGCCCACAGGTATTGGCTCGCTGAGGTTTCCGTTTATTTTAGCTCGGATTTGATTAGCTGCCTTTATATTTTCTATAGGTACTTTTAATTATGTTTAATTTCTCTATTGTATAAGAGATGCACGAAATCTCTCAACTGTACACGATCGAACGCCTTTTCCAAATCAATAAGTTTAATTGTGTTTAATTGTAAAACGTGAAATTGCATGTTAATATGTAGGCACA